GTCCTGAGTCAGAGCTGACAGATGGTGTCACATAGTGCCCCCAAAAGTAGGAATCTGCTTGCCAATCCCTTTCCATGCAGGGTGAGATCCCAAAGTCAGGGCAAAATAAGGGGCAAGGAGAGGCGGAGTAAAGGGAGAAATAAATAAAGGAGTCCGTTTTTCTTTAAAAAAAAAAAAAAATCCTTTGCACAGACTGTGAATGATAAAGCCTCCTGGCTTCAGGAAATTGATTCTGGCAGAAATCTTGGTTCAGTTCGATTCTTTTGGTTCCCATAGGGATCTTTGGGTGATAATAAAAGCTCTGTGTCTGGAGCAAACATGGAGCCACAACAATTATTTGCAAAGTGAATGTCTAGTCATCTGGAACCAGAAATAAATTCAGTATGAGTATCAAAAGTAAAAGTCAAGGGGCATAACACACTTAACTAGAAACACCTATATGCCCTCCTGTGCGTAAGCACACCCAGAGAAGTCCTGGGCTCTTTATCTGTCATTGGAGTATGGTGCTTTCCTGCCTGGGTGTGTGTTCGGCTGATGACACCATACCATTTCAGCCTACTCCCCTTCTGCTGCTATCATGGGCAGGATGTAAAGAACCAGGATTCATTACACTTGGATTATAAACTTTTGCATACAGTACTTCAATGCAAATGTCCTAACAGCCATATGAGATGCTGCTCATTATTTCTCGTACACATTTCATTCAGGAGGCAATGTGACTTCAAGAACATAATTGACCTGTGCTGGCTCACACAGCTAAGTGTCGGTAGATTCAGTATATCCCCAGGCCCATGGTGAATGGGGTGTCTTGGTTAGAACCCAGGGACCAATTTTTAAATTTCAACTCTACTACTAAATATTAGTGTGAGCTTGGGAAAATCTCTTCCCCTCCCAGAGCCTCAGTTTATTCATTTGTAAAAAAGAAGATATTGGCTTCAATTTTGTCGGCAAACACTTTCATCTAATAGTCTGTGGTTTTATTATCCTATGTAGCCACTGCTGGTCTCATAAATAAGACACTATAAATGACTCACATCACATGTATTCTTCTGCAAATTATACGTACATATTTTTGCTTAACAACATCTTCCTGAGTCATCCATGTTGTTGCCTATCGCCATTTTACCATTTTACATATTCGATAGGATCATACTGGATGATTATACTCAATGTCTTTATCCTTTCTACTATTTACTCCAGGCACACATTCAAGTGATTTCTGGGTTTTCTGCTTTTTTGAACAATGCAGCTGTGAACATCTGAAACATGTCTGCCAATCCCTTTCCATGCATACATGTAGGAATTTTTCTGGGGTATGTATCTAAGGAGTGGAGATGCTGGGTTGTATTTATTAGGTAATGCCATTTATTTCCAAAGTAGTTACCCTCCACTGGGAGTAAAGGAGAGTTCGTGATGTTCCACGTTTCTCAATACTTAAAAATTTTGCCCATGTTATGAGTTATAAATATTGTTTCATTTTGCATTTCCCTTATGAGCTATTTGTATTTCTTTTTCGGTGAAATGTCCGTGTCTTTGGAGTTTTTCTAAAGGATTCTTTGCATTTTCTTACTGTTTGCAGTTCTCTTCTCTAATCTTCTGTCAGGTACTCAAGTTGCAAATACCTTGAACACATCATGACTTACCTCATTCTCTTTTTGATATCTTGTAGTGAACAGAAGTTATTAACCATAACAGTGAATGTATTGATCTTTTACAGGGAGTGTTTTTTGGGTCTCAGGAAGTCTTTCTTTAAGGAAATCTCCTTGAGAAGGTAAAGATATTATCCTATATTGTCTTCTAAGTTTTACAATATTGCTTTTCATGTGTGGATGTTTAATTTCATCTGGGGACTTTTATTTTTGTGTATAATGTGACGTAGGGGCTCAATACCATTGTTTTTGATATGGATAATCAATTATCACAGCCTCATTTATTAAATGTATGCACACTTGCTCCCAAGCCATCTATTCTGCTCTATTAGTCAATATTTTGTTGTTGTTGTTGAGACGGAGTCTCGCTCTGTCGACCAGGCTGGAGTTCAGTGACCGGATCTCGGCTCACTGCAAGCTCCGCCTCCCGGGTTTACGCCATTCTCCTGCCTCAGCCTCCTGAGTAGCTGGGACTGCAGGCGCCCGCCACCTCGCCTGGCTAGTTTTTTGTATTTTTTTAGTAGAGACGGGGTTTCACCGTGTTCACCAGGATGGTCTCGATCTCCTGACCTCGTGAGGTCTCAATCTCCTGACCTCGTGATCCGCCCGTCTCGGCCTCCCAAAGTGCTGGGGTTACAGGCTTGAGCCACCGTGCCCGGCCCTTTATTAGTCAATTTTTAAAATATTCCTGTGCTAATACTTCTACAGGTCTTGTAATAAATCTTGCCATCTTATAGGAAAAATGCCCTTATCTCATGTTCTTCTGACTTATCTTGATTATTCTTTACCTATAAAAATTTTATATTGTTTGTTGGGCTCCATAAAAAGTCTTACTGAAATTTTGATTAAAACTTTAGATCAATTTGAGAAATGATATTTTTATATCTTGTTAAATTTATTACTAGGTTCTTGTTTACATTTTTATTAATGATTGCAATAGACATGCAATTTTCCTTTATTGCATTGACCCTACTGAGCTCTTGGTATTAATGTTGTGGTCACCTAAAGAACTGAGTTTATTTGCTATTCTTTGGATGTTTGTGTAAGACCAGAATAATCAGTATCTTGAATGTTCAGTAGGAAAAGCTTGTAAAACTGGATATGTTGTTTTCTTCAGGGGAAGATTTTAAAAAGTTGTTAATCCAACTTCTTTCCAGGGGATGACTGTTATTTCTAATTTCTATTTCTTCTTGGATCAGCTCTGTTTTTTCTAGGAATTTAGACATTTTGTGAAAGTGTCCAAATTTATTGACAAAGTTTGTTTGTAATATCCCCATTACCTGTTTACTCTCTGCAGCTTCTGTAGTTTGCCATTCCTTATTTTTTATACCTTTTCTCTTATCTCCTGATTAAGGTTTCAAACAACCAACTGATATGGTTTGGCTGTGTCCCCACCCAAATCTCATCTTGAATTCCCACGTGTTGTGAGAGGGACCCTGGTGAGCAGTAATTGAATCATAGAGGCAGGTCTTTTCCATGCTGTTCTCGTGATAGTGAATAAGTCTCATGAGATCTGATGGTTTTATAAGGGGGAGTTTCCCTGAACAAGCTCTCTGTCTGCTGACATCCATGTAAGATGTGACTTGCTCCTCCTTGCCTTCGGCCATGATTGTGAGGCCTCCCCAGCCATGTGGAACATAAGTCCATTAAACCTCTTTTGCAAATTGTGCTTCTCAAGTATGTCTTTATCAGCAGTGTGAAAAAGGACTAATACACCAACTTTGATTTTGTTCATCTATTTGTTTTCTGTTTCATCAATTTCTGCTCATTATTCCCTTCAAATTGGGGTGGAGGAGCTATTCTGTTATTTATATTCCTGATATAGATGTTTATTGATTTTTGGCTTAATGAATGCATTTTAGACTAAAGGCCAAAAAAAAAAAATCTCTAGAACTGCTTTAGTCATATTCCACATGCAATTTGTATCGTATAATTGTTCTATTTCTCTCAAGTTTTCATAATAAATTATGAATTAATATTTAAAACTGTTTCATTTGTGCTAATTTCCAACTGAAGGATTTTCAATCCTTAAGGTTGTTTTCCCCCCTAAGAATTGCCATTTGGCCCCAGGTATGATCAATTCTTTCCTTTAACAAATATTGGGCACCCACATGTGTCAGGTGCTATTCTAGATGCTTAGGTTACATCTGTAAACAAAATAGGCCAAAATGTCATGCTTTCTTGGAGCTCATGTTCAAGAGTTTTTGTTTTATTGGAGGCAGGGGTCCCACTCTGTTGCCCAGGCTAGAGTTCAGTGGTACAATCATGGCTCATTGCAACCTCAACCTCCTGGGCTCAAGTGATCCTCTCACCTCAACTTCCCAAGTAGCTGGGAATACAGGCACATACCACCCTGGCTAATTTTTTGTAGAGACAGGGTTTTGTCATGTTGTCTAGGTTGGTCTCAGACTCCTGGGCTCAAGAGATCTGCCTACCTCTGCCTCCCAAAGTGCTAGGATTAGAGGCATGAGCCACTGTGGCTGGCCAGGAGCTCATGTTCTACTGTGAGTTCTTGGAAAAGTCCCATATACCTGAATAGAATGTATATTCTTCACTTGTGGGTGCAGTTCTACATATGACTGTTAAGTCAAATTGCTTTTATTACTCAAATCATGCATTTCCTTACTGATCTTTTTGCTTGCTTATTATCTCAATTTCTAAGGAGAGGTATATTAAAATTTCCTGCTGTGATTGTTCATTTGTCTATTACTCTTGTTTCTAATTACTATCCTAAAAGCCATGTTCTTTTAAAAGACAAGAAACTGATGTTCAAGAAACATGCCCTATTTCACTAAGTTTGTAAAGGATGGATTGTGGATTCCAGTGTGGTTGTCTCTATTATGACAATATTAATTGTGCAACTGTTGTCATCTGTTTTGCCTAATATCTACACCCAATAATAACACACCAGTCCCTTCCCATCCTTTGGGAAATCCCTCTTCCCATACTTTTGATCAAATTACCAGAGTTCCTTGCTCCCTGTTCAGCAGCAAACGTGTCAATGGCTCGTCACCATAGTATCCTGAGCCACACACTGAAATCAGTTCAATGAGTCCCACCCCGGACATATGTATGTCTTTATCATATTGCCTTCCAATAAATTCATACGGTCACTAGCCATGTCTGAAAGTACCTACCAAGGATATGTTATGAGGTTAATTATTGTTTAGCTGTTTGACAAGGATATTTTCCCCTATCCTATTTATCTCATCTGATGATGTCCTGCATTTCCTTGTTATTTCTTCTCCATGACTGGAAAACATAAACTGTCTTTTAGTCCTAAAAATAACTTTTATTGCCATCTGGAATGTACTTTATTGTTGAATAAAGTGTGGTTTATTTCAAAAAATCATTAAGCAGTACTAATTTCCAGGAACTGTGCTAGGAGGCACTGTGGATTCAGAATGGAGTAAGATATGTTCTTTTTATGAAGAACACAATAGAGTGGGGGGAAAGTCATGTTGATAAATGTGTACAAAGGGGTTATGGGCATGTGGGCAGTGGGAGGCAATGCACTCAACCAATGGCAGGCAGTCAGGAAGGCTTCACAGAGGAGGTGACATTTGAGTTGCATCTGAAATACATACTAAGAAAAGTGTATTCTAGGAGGGGCAAAAAGCATCTGCAGAGAAGACACATGATTCCTCACACATTAAATTTTCAAAGTGATTTTTATTCTTTTTCTTTTTGCTGCTATATTCCCATTTCTTC